GGATATAAAGGTAAAAAGGTGCCATCTCTCTCCCAAGGAGCTCATGGGACAAAAGTGGAGAATAAGGTTGATCAAGAAAATAGAGACCAGTCTCAATATAAATATACTAATAGAAGCTTGTGCAAGGTATGATATTGACAACAGAAGAGGGGGTGCCCAGGCAGATAGGGGCAGATGATTTGGGTTTCAAAAGATAAGCAAAAATTCATCAGCAAAATAGTGGAGGTAGAGTGTCAGAGGCATTAAGAATAGAAGCATGATTAAAGTAGAGGCATGAAATAGCATGGCATGTTGGGGAAGTAGTAGCAGTCAAGTTGACCAGAGGTTAAGATATGAAGAGTGCGACTAGTGGCAAAATGAGTGTGAAAAATTAGCCCCAGATTCTATTTTAGGGCTTAAAACAGGAGAATAACACGACTGAATGTATTTTGGAAAGACCAGTCTGGGAAGTGTTGGGGATAGATTGAATGAGTGGGAGGCTGAGGACTGGTAAAGGCTAGCATAAGAAGAAGGAGACTATAATAACTTCCTGATGGTTGTAAAGAGGTGTAAGAGGAATATGGATCTCAGAATGATTGAGCAAGTCCCATGATACTGCTCCTCCCACTTAAAATCCTTTAGTAGCCTTCAGACACAATATAAAATCATCAGCCAGGAACAGAAAGCCCTTCATTAAAAGGCCTTCAGCTACTCTTTCTCCTATCTCTTGGCTCCCCCAATTTGCATCTTATGTTCTAGTTCTTTTCAAGTCTCAGAGCCTTGCTAGTTAACCTGGAACAAGTTATTCCTTTTTCACCCGATGAGTTTGTTTATATTTTAAATCTCCAGGACACCTTGGGTTCCTTGCACTATTGAATTGAAGTCATTCTGTACGCTGACTCTCTAAGTGACAGCAAACACTCTGAGAGCAAATGTCCAGTCCTAGAATAATATAGGTTCTTAACTAATGCGTATGAATGAATGAGTGAAGTGGTCCTGTAATGCCTGGGACTTCTTATGCTCAAGTTCTACCCCTACTAGAGTTGTTTTCATGCATTAGAGAATGTGATGTTAAAACTTAAATCTGTGGGAAAGAGTCAGAACATGTAGCATTGCTACTAGGTCCAAATCTAAGAGGAAGCATCTGCCTCAGGTCTTGGCAAATTTCCTTGCCTCCCTCTAATCTGTTCTTTCATCCAACAGATGTCTTAGTACTGCAGCTTCAAGATGATTAATAACTCAAGGGTTGGGGGAGAGAAATATATATATTTTTTTACCGATACTTTGGACTCAAATCTTTCCATTCTTGTGTGTGGTAACAATTTTATTTTCTTCTATTAAGGTATGTGCCTATATAGGCTTACCTATGAGTAATTGTTAAGAATTTATAGTTACTAGTGATGAAAGTAATGACAGATGGGCTTAACAGAAAATAAAGGTGAAAATGAGTAAGAGCAAGAAGTAGAGGACATTTAGGAAAGGAAAGTAGTTGGTTTATAATAAAGGAATAAAGCAGCCCAATGTGTTGGCAGTCACCTTTGGTTCACCGATTGCTCTAGGCCACATGTGTCAAACACAAGGCCCGCGGGCCAAATCCGTCCCGCCAGGCCTTGCAATGTGGCCCGCACCGCGCTGTCATCACTGCACTCTGCTGCGTTTCCATCACAATGACAGTTTATGACTGTTCAGTAAACCATTCGGCCAGCGATTTAGGCTGGATTTTAGATTTTGGCCCCTTCTCTGATTGAGTTCAACACCCCTACTCTAGGCAGTGGTTCTTAACATCTGACAATGTCCCTCTAGAAGGCCTTGAAATTACTGTAAAGGACTTGAAATCCAAATGAAAATTTGTATTTTCTTAACTAATAGATAGTAAAAATACTATAACTGCCTAGCTGGTGCAACTTAGTGATTGAATATCAACCTTTGAACCAGAAGTCACAGTTCGATTCCCAGTCAGGGTACATGACTAGGTTGTGGGCATGATCCCCAGAGTGGGACATGCAGGAGATAGCTGATCAGTGATTCTTTCCCATCATTGGTGTTTCTATCTCTCTTTCCCTCTTCCTTCTTCTCCGAAATCAATAAAAATATATTATATTTAAAAATGTACAATAACTGATATATAAGAAGTTTCATACTTGAAAGATTGGAAACACATCTGAAGGAATTAGTGATTCCAGCCTAGGCCAGAAGCACTAATTTTGTATTTGTACCTTATAATTTATAAAGACCTTTTACTTACTATAACTCAGTAGGGTTAGATGGTTACATATCCCCATTTTTCAGATGTAGAAACTGAGGCTGAGTTGTATGTGGTCTCGTAAGTTTAATGGATTCAGTTAAAACGAGTTTGTAAATTCCATGGCTTGCTTGTCTGAGTCACAAAGAAATCTCGGTTGGAAAAAATACCTAGCACCTAGGATAGAGAAAAATGAGAGCAGATATAGTATAATATGTACTTATAAGGAACCAAAGAAAAGCAAGAACTGAGCAGGAAGCAAGGCTGGGTCCTTCTGTTTAACAGTGCTATTGCAAAGTAAGGGATTCTGGAAGTAAGCCTTGGTTATGAAATTGAACAAAGGTATGTTATGGCCAATTAACCACAAATAGTTGTGCTTTAAAAAATCCTCCCCATTTATTAAGAAGTTTTTTTTTCTTTGAGTCAGGTCCAGAATTATAGTGTTGAAGATTTATTTTGAGAATGGATAGAGATAATTGAAAAGTTTGTCAATCAAAGAATGAACTTCAAACTTCCATTCTAGTAGCAAAGAAAATAAAAAATTTAGTGTCTTTTTTGAATCATTAGAATATTTTTCTAGGCATCATCATCATCATATAGAATGAATAATTCCTGTAGGGAAATCTGCATCTATCAGACCCAAACTGTGCTAATGAAAGTATTTTAAAAAATTGATCGTGATCTCTTGTTTAGTTCAGTTAGAAGAGTAGGGAGTAACAACCCATAGAAAAATGGATATTCTATGAAAGTCCTCCATATAGCTAATAAAAGAAATAACTATGATTTCTTCTTCTTATCATTAGAGCGTAGTTTAGATACAGTACAATATTATGTTCGTTTCAAGTATACAACATAATTAGACATTTATGTACCGTATGAAGTGATCACTGTGATAAATCTAGTATCCATCTGTCAAGCAAGCGTACAGAGTTATTACAATATTATTGGCTATATTCCCTGTCCTGTACATTTCATTCCTGTGGCTATTTTATTTTATAACTGGAATTTTATACCTTTTAATCCCCTTTACTTTTTCACCCAGCCCCTCACCTCCATTCCCTTCTGGCAACCATGTATCTATGAGTCTGTTTCTGTTTTGTTTAGTTTAATTGTTTTTATTTTACATATAACTGAAATAATATGGTATTTGTCTTTCTCTGTTTTACTTATTTTACTTAGCATAACACCCCTGAGGTCCATCCATTTTGTCACAAATGGCAAGATTTCATTCTTTATTTTTTTGATTTCACGTTTTTTTTTTCATGACTAAGTAGTGTTCCATTGTATACATGTAACACATCTTTCTTATTTTTATTTTAAAAATATTTTTATTGATTTCAGAGAGGAAGGGAGAGGGATAGAAACATCAATGATGAGAGAGATTCATTGATCGGCTGCCTCCTGTATGGCCCCCACTGGAGACTGCTGAGCCCGTAATCTGGGCGTGTGCCTTGACAAGGAATGAAACTGTGACCTCCTGGTTCATAGGTCGACACTTACCACTGAGCTATGCCAGCCAGGCTGTAATACATCTTTAACCATTCATTTGTCAATTAACACTTAGGTTGCTTTGATAGTTTGGCTATTCTAAGTAATGCTGTGATGAACATAGGGATGCATATATCTTTTTGAATTAGTGTTTTTATTTTCTTTGGATTAATATCTAGAAATGGGATTTGCTGGATTGTATGGCATTTCTATTAAAAAAAATATCTTTATTGTTGCAAGTATTACAGGTGTCCCCCAGTTAGGGCACATGTGGAAGGCAACCAATTGTTGATGTCCCTTGTTAGGGTACCATAATGCCAAGTTTCCCCCCCCCCCACCCCCCCAGCCTTACAAAGTGTTCAGAATTCTGGAGAAAGGGGCTGTGCATAGATGATTAAAGAGTCTAAGGACAAAATATATTTTTGGAAGGTTTTGGGGGCCAGAGGAGCTTCAGCTAAAGGGAACTGAAGACTCTCCTAGTCTCAGGATCCGTGCTTAAAACACAATTTGTCCCAAGGCAAGGTGGAAATATATACTTCAAAGGGTAAGGTTTCAAAGGTTATTGTCATTTTGGGGAATAACCTACAGCTGTTCAGGTGTTTGGCCAACAGGAGGCAAAAAAATGCCCTGAGTTGTCTGGCAGCAGACAGTCATCCTATTCAGGTTTGGGGGAAGTGCCTTTTAGCCATTTCCAACAGGTAAACTACATATGACTCAACCCTGTTGAGTTCCCCCAAGTCCCATCAATCTTTTGAAGGAACTCTTGTAATTATTATATGCTGGAATTGGTTCTCAGCACACATAGATGTTTCTTCTCTTCTTTCTACTTTCTCTAAAAATCAATGGAAAAAATATCCATGGGTGGGGATTTAAAACAAAGCTTAAATAAGAATTATTTTTTTTTCAAGAAAATTGTCTTAATTCCAGGTGGTACAGAATATCCTGAAGAACACACTTTGACAGGATTCTGAGCTGGGTTTACTCAGACCACACAGCTAAGGATGAAATGGCAGAATGAGAAAAGCTTAAGAGATGAGCCAATGCATGATTATCATTATTATTATTATTATTTTATAAAAGTTTATTCTTAAATGTTCCACAGCCTCCAAGACAACACTTCATTTTAGCTATGTGTCAGGAGATGTGATGACAGGGAATCCTGATGTTAAAATAGGAATGGAATTAAGGATCACCATTTCCCCAGGCACAAGGAACAGTTCACTTTTTGCCAGATTTCTTAATTCACCTATGGCCAGGGGGCCCTTCCTCTTGGCTTGGCTTTCGCTTTCAGCTCCTGGAGTTTCTTCTCCTCTTTCTGCCTCTGCTTGAATGCCTTGTCTTCCTTGTTCATCTCCTTGGCCTGCTTCTTGGGATGCTTCAGGGGCTTTTTCTTGCCACCTTCTCAGCCAGAAATGATCAAGAATTACTTATTTTTACAAAAAAAAAAAAAAAAAAAAAAGCTTAAGTAAGGCAAATGACTTGTCCAAAGTCACACAGGAAAAAGTGGTAAGAAATAGAGCAGGTATTTGAACTCAGAGGTGACCAAACTCAGTGTTCATATTATTACCCTTATGCTAGGTACTCCTAAATGAGCAATGAACAGTGTTCCCTGAAAGTCTCTGGCATGAAAATCTTCATCTGGCCATTAAATACATTGTCTGAGATTTAGCTGTCAATTTTGTAAACTTGATCCAAAATTTGGGTGCATTCTCTTCAGCAATCACTAGGTGGAGCTAGTGCACTAAAAAGGCACCAGACGTTTTCGGAGACTAGGACAGGATTTATTCTAGGAAGTCAGCAAAAGCTGGTTTTGATTGGAAAGTGCTAAAAAGATCACTCCCTATGACAACTGACTTTTTTCTTTTCTGGATAAAGTAGATGAAGAGGAATATGAGAGGTCTCTGGAGGTGTAGAAACTTGCTAGAGCCAAGAGCTATGTGGGATGAATGCATAATCAACGAATTCTGTTCTTTCCCAGGAATGATTTTAATAATCTGATGTGTGGCTGGGCTGGTGGGTTGTGGAAGCAGAGCAAAATATCACCCTGCCTGTGTGGTCTGCCTTCTCTTAGAGATTCCAGCCTTTCACATTATATAATACTGAGCATACATACTTGTATCTGGTGTTTCAAATGGAATTTCTAAAATTATGATAGTGATGACACTAATTGTTATGTTAGCATGCATGCACATGCTGCTTTAAAGTTTGCAAATCCCATTTATTTTCACTCTTTGAGTGGATGAGCCCTCTGGCCAAGGCTAGCCCTTCTTGGATCACAGGACAGGGGGTAAGAGCAGTATGGTATGGGGCTGCTCTTTTCTTCTGTGTCTAAGAAGTTATTATAGTTGGGTTCTTGAGAGAAGCAGAACCAAAAGGATGGATATATATTGCAGTTCAACAGTCATTTATTGAGAATTCACTGAGACCCAAATCACTCTTGCTCTTCTTGTCTCTTCCAGTTCTTTTTTGTCACAGGATTGAGGAAAACAATTAACTCTCTATAAACAAAGATAAGTCAGAGAACAATATTAAATTCCACTTAGTGCTCTTTCCCAAGTTCCATTGGGATCATTATTTGACTTGTACCGGTTCCAGTGGGTGGTTGCAGGGTACATCTCAGAGTCCACTCAATCGCTAGTTTGCTGTTTCTATTTTATATAACAGTACAGGCAGTCCTTATTTGTGTTCACAATACATTCCTGAAAATCACACCAAGGGTCAGACAAATCTCTTTTCCCTCAAGACTAATGTTTTAGCTGAGGGTCATAGTCTTTTTCCAGCTTCTAGAGGCTGCGCACATTTGTTCATTGGCTCATGATCTTCTTCCTTCCATCTTTAAGGCCAGCAATAGCGACAGGCAAGTCCAAGATTTGCAGGACAGGCAAGTGTGGAGACACAGGGAGGAGTTGATGTTGATATTTCAGTTCAAGTCCAAAGGCAGAATTTCCTTTTCCTCAGTCTTTTTTTTTTAAGGTCTTCAACTGATTGGTGAGACCCACCCATGTTATAAAGAATAATCTGCTTGACATTTCAAAGCCTAAATGTCAATCTGTCAACATCTAAACATGTTTGGCCAAGTATTTGGGCACTGTGCGCTAGCTAAGTTGAGACATAAAATTAACCATCAAAAGAAAGCAAATAATTCTCTGCTGGACTTGGAGGGAAAATAGAGTTTCTTCTGCTGTATTTGTTGGAATTCAGAGCTGTTCATTTCAACTTTAGTAAAAGCAATCTATTCATCTTCTCTTCTGCCCCTGAAACCTTGATGAATAGGTAAGTATATACTGGACAATTACACAAAACATTTAAAAATAAATCTATAATAAATCAAGAAATCTGTAAGGCATGGCTTCAAACCTTATTCCATGTTATAATTAAAATGTGGTTTTGAGGTTGGTACAAGTACCTAGAAAAATGCATGAAATAAATAGAGTGCTTTCCAAGTCAAGTATAGAAGCATCAAATAATATTTCTGAAAGGTCCCTAAATATAATCATTGGTCTTTCTCATTTTACAGATAAGTATAAGCAACCTCCCATGCAGTTAAAAAATCCAGATGTGACTTTTAACTTTTGCAACACTTAACTATTAATAGCCTACTGTTGCCTGTAAGCTTTCCCAATAACATAAACAGCCAATTGACACACATTTTATATTATAATGTATTGTACACTATATAATAAAGTAAGCTAAAGAAAATAAATGTTAATAAAATTATAAGATGAATTACATTTAATGTACTGTACTGTGTTTATTAATACTGCAAATTTATGTTGTCTGCTCCAAATATATGATATATATGAGTTTTGAAATTTTGAGAATGATGATTGTGTAGTTAGAGAATGTGGATGAGAAAAAAAAAATCCAAGAAAAAAAAATCCTAGGGAGTGTTAACTTCAATAAGTAGGAATCAGATAAGGAGAATAAGTACCAGAAATAGAGAGAAAGGGAAAACCAGACATACATGACAGCCCAAAAGCCAGGAGAGAGGTGTAATTAAAGGAGTGATTAGCAGTATCTAATAGGTGAATTTGTTGATTAATTCTAATAATTTTTTGGAGGAGTCATTAGGATTTCCTGTATAGAAGATCATATCATCTGCAGCAGAATTAATTTTACTTTTTTTCCTGTCTAATTTGAATGCCTTTTATTTCTTTTTCTTGCTCATTTATCTGGTTAGGACTTCTGGTATACTATCCTATCTAATAAAGAGATAATATGCAAATTGACCATCATTCCAACAACCAAGATGGCCACCCCCATGTGGACACAAGATGGCCAGCAAGGGAGGGCAGTTGGGTACAACCAGGAATGTAGGGGAGGGCAGTTGCGGGGGGAGAGGGGGAGACCAGGCCTTCAGGGGAAGGCAGTTAGGGGCGACTGGGCCAGCAGGGGAGGGCAGTTGGGGGGAATCAGGCCTGCAGGAGGGGGCAGTTAGGAGGGATAAGGCTTGCAGGGGAGGGCAGTTGGAGGGGAACAGGCTGGCAAGGGAGGGCAGTTGGGGGGATCAGGCCTGTAGGGGAGGGCAGTTAGGGGCAATTGGGCTGGCAGGAGAGCAGTTAGGCATTGATCAGACTGGCAGGGTAGTGGTTAGGGGCCAATCAGGCAAGCAGGCAGGCAGGCAAACCGTTGGGAGCCAGCAGTCCTGGATTTTGAGAGGGATGTCTGACTGCTCGTTTAGTTGAACATCCCTCGAGCAGTCCCAGATTGGAGTGGGTTCAGGCTTCCAGATTAGAGTGGGTTCAGGCTTCCAGATTGGAGTTGGCTGTGAGACACATTCTCCCTGTGCACAAATTTTGTGCACCGGGCTTCTAGTGTTGAATAAGAGTGGTGAGAGTGATCACCCTTGTTTTACTCCTGATCTTAAACTTTCAACTTTCATCATTGAATATATGTCAGTTGTCATATATGGCCTTTATTAGGTTGAAGTACATTCTCTCTATACCCAAATTACTGAACATTTTTATCATGAAGGGATGTTCTATTTTGTCAAATTCTATTTCTGCATCTACAAAGATGATCATATGATTTTACTCTTTTATTACTGTGGTTTATCACATTTATTGATTTGCATATGTTGAACCATCCTTGCATCACAGTGATAAATCCAATTTGATTATAATGTGTAATCCTTTTAATAAGCTATTAAAATTCAGTTAGATAATATTTTGTTGAGGATTTTTTTGTGTATATTCAGCTGGATTTGGGCCTGTGGTTTTCTTTTCCTGTTCATATCTGGCTTTGGCACCAGGGTGATGCTGGCTTTGTAAAATGAATCTGGAGTTTTTCCTTTCTTCATTTTTTGGAAGGAGTTTGAGAAGGATTGGCATTAATTCTTCTTTAAACATTTTGTAGGATTCACCATCTCACCCTAGGCTATTTTTTGTTGGAAAGTTTTTGAGTACTGATTAAGTCTTCTTAGTCATTATTAGTCTATTCCAATTTTCTATTTTTCAAAATTAAGCTTGGTAGGTTGTATTTTTCTAGGAATTTATCAGTTTCTTTTTAGATTATCTAATTTATTGGTATATAATTGCTCATAGCAATCTCTAATGACCCTTTGTATTTCTATAATATCAGTTGTAAAATCTTTCCCCTTATTTTTTGTCTTCTCTCTTATTTTTGTAAGCTTGTCTTTTTTTAAGAGCTTGTCTTTTTTTTTTTTTAAGAGAGAGAGAGAGAGAGAGAGAGAGAGGGAAAGAAAGAAAGAAACATTGCTTTGTTGCTGCACTTAGTTATGAATTTGGTTGATTCGTGTATGTGCTCTAACCAGGGATCAAACCTGCAGCCTTGATGTATTTGGATGATGCTCTAACCCCGTGGTCAGCAAACTGTGGCTCGCGAGCCACTTGCGGCTCTTTGGTCCTTTGAATGTGGCTCTTCCACAAAATACCACAGCCTGGGTGAGTCTATTTTGAAGAAGTGGCGTTAGAAGATGTTTAAGTTTAAAAAATTTGGCTCTCAAAAGAAATTTCAATCATTGTACTGTTGATATTTGGCTCTGTTAACTAATGAGTTTATTGACCACTGCTCTAACCAACTGAGCTGCCCAGCCAGGGCCAGTTTGTTATAAAGAAAAAATCCTTTCAAAGAAAATCAGCTCTTTGTTTCATTGATCATTTTCATTGTTTTTCTGTACTCTAAATAATTTATTTCTACTCTGATCCTTATTGTTTTATTCCTTTTGCTAACTTTGGGCTTAGTTCTTTTTTAGTTCCTTGAGTTGTAAAGTTAGTTTGTTTATATGACAGCATTCCTTTTGGTTTCCCAAGGACCAAGTTTGTGGTCTTTCTCTCTGGCCCACATTTTGAGGTTTACTGTCAGTGCATACTTACTAAGTCATCTTCCAAAGCTTATGTTTGCTGCCATCAGGAGTGTGCACAGGGAACCAGCCACAGGGTGGAAGTGTG